TCACCATTGTCAAGTTTATTTTTATAACACCTTCCACCACCCTTGTGGAGGGGCAAGGTGCTGTGCACTAACACAGTACATCAAGAATAATAAACCAGGAGCAAGATAAAAACAGATTAAAATGTATAAAAGGAAGAAAAAAAATATATATATACGTATATATATATATATATATATACGTATATAGTTGTTATTGCCGATTATCACTTGTAAGTCGCTTTGGACAAAAGCGTCTGCTAAATACATAAACATAAACATATAATAATAATGATAATAATGCATTGAACTTATATAGCGCTTTTCAAGACCCCCAAAGACGCTTTCACACACTCTCACATTCACACACTGCTAGTGATGGTAAGCTACTTGTAGCCACAGCCGCCCTGGGGAGGTCTGACAGAGACGAGGCTGCCATTTGGCGCCGTCGGCCCCTCTGACCACCACTATCACATGTGTATATATATATATATATATATATATATATATATATATATATATATATATATATATATATATATATATATATATATATAGATAGATAGATAGATAGATAGATAGATAGATATAGATATAGATATATGTATATATATATTATATATATATATATATTATATAATATATATACATATATATATATATACATATGTGTATATATGTATATACATATATATATGTATATATATATATATAGATAGATAGATAGATAGATAGATAGATAGATAGATATAGATAGATATGTATATATATATATATATATATATATATATATTATATATAATATATATATATATATATATATATATATTATATATAATATATATATATATATATATATATATATATATATATATATATATATATATATATATATATATATATGCATATTAGATATATATTGTTTTATATATATAAAATTTATTTTATTTATTTTTCTTCCTTTTATACATTTTAATCAGTTTTTATCTTGCTCCTGGTTTATTATTCTTGATGTACTGTGTTAGTGTACAGCACCGTGCCCCTCCACAAGGGTGGCGGAAGGTGTTATAAAAATAAACTTGACAATGGTGATGATGATGATGATGATGATGATGATGATGATGGTTCTGCTGTCCCAGTCTACACAAACACAGATTTTCACTGTACTGCATTAACATGTAGCCAAGCACGTTAACAGATGTTCTATCCTAATAATTCCACCTTAAACCATGGGTTGTTTCATATTTCATCTGATGCCGAAATGTCCTCAACACCTCTTCAGTTCAAGTCAATGATCTTCATCGTCATTGTTGCATGTACAACAAAATTAAACAGCATGAATCGATCAGTGGCAGCACTGGTGCCTCACAGTGAGAAGGTCACTGGTTTGATCCCGGCTGCAGCCTTCAATTCTAAAGTTTTCCCATCTTTAATCTTTACTGTCCTGTCCTGATGAGACCTGCATGCAACAACACGCCCGTGTCCTCATGATGAGTGACCTAGAGATGATTTCATCAAAGAATCACACGTCCTTGAACACTGATAGCAGCTTATCACTGAGAGTCTGGTTCAATCGGCCTGGACCTGCTGCCTTGCTGGGAGGCTCAGTCACAAATATCTTCAACAGATGTAGATGAGAGGGAAAGGGAGTAAGATAGACAGCGGAGGAGATATAAAAGGAGTGAGAGAGCAAAAAAACAATAGATTATCACTAAGCTGCAATCAACAAACATTTCCTCTTCATCAGCTGTTTAGTCTGCATGGCCTTGAGACAGCAGATGAACTCTAGTAATGCCAGGAATTTATCAGAAAGCCACAAAACCACCGATAACCAAGTTATCTGTGTTAAGACAGCATATTACAGGCATTTCCCCACGGGATTCTGGAGCCTTTCGGGGCGATGCTCGTTGTGTCCTACTGAAGTTAAGTCACGCATTGCAGGTTCATTTGTGATTGAGAGACACTATATGATGTGTCTTTATGTTATCATCTGATACACACCTCCACTGAGGAAGACTTTGCAGCATCTACAGCGCAAACCAGATGAAAAGTAGGATCAGAACAGCTACAGCTTCTACAGAACCTTCAGCACTTTCACCACCCAGACTGGAGCACCACCGAGGTGTGAGAGCTGGACATTGTTGGTTTGTTTTTTCATATTGATTTATTTTCAGACATCTATTACTATTGATGGTTTACTTATTGTGAGTTATTATTTAAGACTGAAGAAACACAAAAGATCTTTTCCTACGTCAGCGAGGCCTGATCCCCAGATCCTGAGGCCTTTTTTTTACCTGTTGGTGGTGATGATGCACGCTGTCATGGCCACCATCCTGGCTTCTTCAGCTGCAGGAGCCAGGACCATCCAGCCCCTGTGATTGGCCAAGACACCGACCCTCCTCCTCCTCCCATCCAGGCTGCTGCTGAGCACAGCTGACCTGAATCCCTCTGACGACCTACACCTGGGACGACCTTCAGCCGTCTGGGTTTCTGCTGCCCTCCAGCTCTCGGTTTGTTTTAACCCCTTTTGATTTGATAAGTTTTAACTCTGAGTTTGATGAGTTTTTACTAAAAAAAAAAAAGATTAAACTTTGAGATGATCCAAAGGGATCTTTTGTTGACTGAGTGATGAGTATTTTAAAGGTTAACGCTATTCTGGTTTTAAGATTTTCATAAACTTTGTGGATTTTAAAACAGCCTCAGTTTTGGTAAAAGTTGTAACCAGGTGTTTTCATTGTTGGTAAGTGGTCTTATGAACCTTTTTGGGAGTATTTATTGTTTTGGGGTATTATTTTAATAATGCTCACCATCTGTTTGCTTTTGTTTTAAAACCTTTTATGACAGTTACGCACGTTTAATTCCACTGTTCCAAGTTCTTATGTTACCCCCTCCTTCTTACCCCAAAACTAGCCACAGTGGCCCCTTTGATGTCAGCCCATTTGGAGAATCCAACAGTTTCCCCAGATTAATCTCTGAGTGATTTCTATTGGGCCATTCCCATCTGTGCCGGGTCGGCCCGGGCCGGGTAGCCCCAGTCGGCCCCAGCCTGGCCCGGTTGATTCCACACATCCTTGCCTTAAGCCCATGTGGGCTGATTCTACCCACCAATCAGAGGCTTGCTCTAATGGAAGGTGGGAATTTGCTGTCAGCAGTTGGTGTGTTGGCCCTGGTCGGCCTGAAGCAGACCCCCTCGAGAAGAGGGCTGAGAATGAGCCTTGGTTGGCCCGGAAAAATACCAGGCCACCCAGATATGTAAACAACCTACGCTGCCCGGCCCGGGCCGACCCGGTACAGATGAGAATGGCCCATTAGTTCCCCACAGAGTGAGTGATTTTTAGAGTAAAATTGGGCTGAGTGCCAAGAGGGCCACCGTGGGTAGTTTTTGGGAACGTACATCAGTAGGATGCCCACAAAAATCACCCTGATAGATTTAACAGGGCAGTCTCTTGGATTGCCCATTTGGGCTGACACGGGGCCACTGTGGGTAGTTTTTTGGGCAGATACTAATGTGGGGTGCCCACAGAAATGAACATGGTTAACGCATAAGGTTAAACATCCATTGGGCTGGCACAGGGCCTCCCACAAGGGCTCAGCAGAGGATGGATTTGGGCAGACTTATCTTGCCTTTAACAGAAACCCAAAGGAGCTCACATGGGAAATGACATACACAAGATCCTTGTGTGTTAACTATGGGATAAGTGTGGGTTTTCCCTGCCTATACTACCCCAGACACAGCCCACATTGTAACCCCGGGTTTCCACTGGAGCCGTCAGCAGCACGTTACTGCAGCAGCACGTCTTGCTCGCGTAAGCTGCTGCTTGGCCCTTCCCACGAGACGCGAAGCAGCAGGGGAGCAGCTGCCACCGACCGAGCACGAAGTCACACGAGTGATTTAGTCAGTAAACACAACAACAAGCAGGAGAAAATTACAACATGGTTTGTGTTTTATGTTCTGTCCGTTTTATAATCGCCGATACGGACCTGAAAAACAAAGGAGACCGCTAGCTAGGTGATAACTTCTCACCGGGACCACACAGTTGGTAACCTTTTTTAAAAGTAAAGCAACCGGAAGGCAGTACGTTCTTTATTCTGAAAATCTCGGTAGCTTCTTTCCATTTCCGCGTCCGATTTCCTGTCTTTCCTTCCCCAAAAATGTTGAACTTGACCCGTTTCAGAGGCGTCGCGCGTAGAAAATAGAACCGGCGCGTAAAGGCCGCGACATGCTGCTCCTGAGACGCGGTCGACTCGCGCTGCTGACGGCTCCCATGGAAAGCCGGGGTAATGATGAGGCAACAGTAGCTCAGGAGGCAAAGATCCGGGGCACAGGAGGGCCCAGCATTGATGGCCCACAAATGCGGGCCAAGCCCTGTTGGGCCCCTACATGGCCCCACGTGTGCCCTACATTTCACGGCACCTGTGGGTCCCACTGTGGGCAACCCTAACGGGCATGTTTGCTGGGATGTTTTTCAGAGGCTGACCTGGCCCGACCCATCCAGTCCTGCCGGAGTTCGGTGTGTGTGACTGCAGGTACAGTAATCATTACCTGTGATTGTTGCAATTAAAATGTAAACTTTACTTGCCCGTCATAGTTATTTGTTTTGCATTTCCATCTCTGGACACGCCGACCGTAGTTCGAGGACTCTGGGTCCCAGGAGGCTGACCTTCTTCAGAAACATGACCAGGATCACTGTGGCATGTTACAATATGTTAAAATGTTCAGCTAAATCATTAACGGTGACACGTCTGATCTTGTGCATGTTGGTAAAAAATTACAGAGACACAGCTTTTGTTTTTACTCTCCAATGCTGCTCCTTACAAAATAAATACCTAAAGATAATTATCAGTTTAAGAAGTGAAAATATATTTAGCATGGGACATTGTAGATTAGGCAGGTCTCTGATAAAAATCTGTAGGATTTGAAATTTTAACTGATATTGTTCACAGAAACAAGAAGTGTTAGGAGTGTAGGTATTATATTCAGTATAATGTTAAAATAAATACCAATTCTACTGAGAATGTACTTTCTTCTGAATTGTTTTCTAAGATAAACAAAACTAGAATTTTTAACATTTAGGAAGACAAAGACCTAACCCTGCAATTGTCATAAAGAATGTTTATGATTAATATCTTCGGCGTCGTATACGAAGCTGAAGTCTGGTGGCAGGGCCAGCCTAGTAAATCTTTCATCTCCACATCCTTTAATCAAGAGAGGAACATGATGTAAAAAACCCATTTCCTTGAATCTGAGCAGCAGCAGGAGGAGGTGGGGCCGAATGAAACGGGGTTGTTACAGACGCAGCCATCCAACGAGCCAGGAGAACAGAGAAATCGGCACAATCCCAGCCATTTAGTTGGGTTTCATGATCCCGCTCTCATGACAGAAACTTCCTGACCCGGCTGGATAGCTTGACCTATGACCTCTACAGGAGAAAGATCAGTAAAACAGAGAACTAGGAGCGCGAGCAGCTTTCCCTATGTAAGAACTCACAGGAAACAAACACTTAGGCCCTGTCCACACGTAGCCGGGGATCTGCCAAAACGTAGATATTTTTCTACGTTTTGGCCTGTCATCCACACAAAAACGGAGTTTTTTCACACAAAAACGGATCTTTTTGAAAACTCCGGCCAAAGTGAAGATCTGCGTTTTCTCCGTTCTGGGTGTCTGCGTGTGGACAGACAAAACCGGAGTTTTAAGGTCCGCAACGTCACTTTCCGCGACAAAAAAGTGCTGACATCACGTGTGCGACCTGTGTTTACACTAGCCGACAGCATGGATGCCCTCAGGGACCCCAAAAAAACAAACGCGCCATGACGTTGGACTTTCCCAGTTCTGTTCCACCACGAGAAACTTGTGCAAGGCAAGCGTTGCACTGAGCCACACTGTCTTTTTCGGACTTTAACAAAAAATCCTGCCACACGGCCGACGTTGCTCTTGCTCCTTGCTAGTTTGTTAGCGTACACTGTTCTGATCATGTGGGCTTTGCATGCTGGGTCTGGAGCGCTGCTGGATAGAATTGCTTGAATGAAATTTAAAGCGGAATGGACCGCTCATGTCGGAGATTTTTGATGCAGTTCGATATAATCAGATACAGTGTTTTTGGGCTGATATTGGACCTATTTCCAATAACAGAACGGGACATCCCTCCTGCTCACCTTTGCTTACCTGCTTTGAAATGAAGATTTAAACATTTTTTTAAAACAGATAAACTATTGATACATTTTACACACACGCAGTGGGCACGTACCGGCCACCGGCATCAGTTTGTGTGTGCAGCACAGCTCATCATTGCCTCATCTTTCCTTTCTAATGTGTATTTGGACAGGAAATGCATAAATTAAGCATTTTTTCTTGTAAAAAAAATGAAATCATGCAGAAAACAAATGTATATACCAGCCAACTGTACAACCCTCCCCTGGCTGCACGTCACTGTCTGGTATTTACACTGATGTCAGGAAAAACTTTACTTATTTGTTTGCTGATAGAATTCATATTAGCTGTTTTTAATGTGAGATGATTTCTTAGGCCACCTTTTATCATATAAATCAGCCACATGGCAGCCAAGTAACAACATTTTCAGGCTTTTTATAAATGTTTAACCCCTTTATACTGGCATGGACTGAATCTGATGAATTGTGCATATTTTAAGTCTAGATTAACAGCTCACCCGAAAAGAATAAAGAAAATCTACAGAAAAGAAAAAATATATATATTTAAAAAGGAAGAAAAAAAGGAAGCCAAATATATAAGATTTTTTAAATTTAAATTCAAGGGCTGAAACTTTTTATTTGAATCGTTGCAGTGAGTGACCTTTAAACAGTTTTTGTTTTTCGTTGGGAGTGCATGCAGATTCGTCACCAGTAGGTGGCGGTAATACAACAACATGCTGTTTCTGAAGAAATGACACAGAAGACGAAGAAGAATAAGAGGCAGTAGTAGTAGCAGAAGAAGCAGAAGAAGAAAACCAGAAATTCTTCACCAAACTGGTCAGTTCGGGTGCCAGTCAGACTACCAGGCGGTATAAATATGTTGTATAGATTAGTTTCTTGTTCCAGCCGGACGCTCGCCCGTCCCGCTTTGTTGCTTTCTGTCTCCGTAAAGGGAGGCGGGCACCGCTACCCATGTAGCCGGCTAGTTGCTGCAGGCAGACGGTCGTTTCTGAGTCACTGTAAGGTATGTACACACACACACACACACACACACACACACACACACACACGAGATTAGCTGTATGAGTTAAACATTGCTGCTATGTGCCGCTGTTATGACGGGTCACCCTCTGACAAACGTCCTGTTCGCTTTAGAGGACACAAGTGGGCTGGCTCCGTGTGTCCCCGCTGCCGGAGGTTTGGAATCGTAGGATGACCAAGGAAGACCCCGCCTTTCTCGCCTCTGATTGGCTAGAAGGGATCTCCTGTGATTGGCTATGTCATTTAGCAGCAAACAGTCTTCCCACGTTAAGAGCAGACTGTTGTCCTGCTACCAACAGAACAGCAGTTTTGGGACGTTTCGTAAAGAAAATGTCATTAGCGCTATAATAACCATTCTCTCTTGTTTTTCAATTCAGATTCAAAAATACTTTATTAATCCCAGAGGGAGGTTAGAGTTTCAGTACACACAATCCTGAGATCAGACATACATGGGCAAGACACATGACAAGAATTGGTGACTGTGGTCATTCGCAACCCGAGTCTCGCTACCGTAATAGATCAAGAGGGTTTATATGAGGATAGAGTCAGGGGAAGGGAAAAAAGGCACTTCAGAGTTACCCCCAATAGAGAGGGCAGCTTTGCTTTGCAAAATAACACCTCAGACAGATATGCACACAGACTTCAGACATTACACAACGTAAGTGTCCACTAGGTGGGGCGGTAGGGTTGGGACTATCCCCACTTCAGTGCCTGCAGCCCCATGGAGCAGCGCTCATCACCTCCGTTTGGACAGGGGAGGGAGATAATGGGTTAGAGGTAGGGATGCACCGATCAGGTTTTTTGCTGCCGATACCGATATCAAAGAATGCTGATCACCGATACCGATCACGTGGATTGGCCAGAAATTTTCTACATTATAATGAGTGCTACAAACTACATAATCTGGGAATAAAGGAAATTTAACCTAATCTAAAATGGTCTGTTTTAATTTTGACAAAAACTAGTTTTTATCTTTTATGAGAAAAAAAGTCTTGCAGCACAGTCGGTGTTTTTATTTCTGACCACTACTTGTAAGCTTCCTGCTCAGAACCCAAGGTTTAGACAGGAAGATGTCTCTTGGATGAGAGGTAAAACATTTTCAAGATAACCAGAAAACTCTAGCTGTTTTAATAAAATCTCTTACGATGATCATGACCAGGAAAACTGAAGCACTTAAATGTAGCTCCTATCGGTAACAATCTAACTGATTCAAACATTAACGCCTCTGTCAGTGCGCCCCAGGGCAGCTGTGGCTACATCGTAGCTCATCACCATCAGTGGGTGAATGGATGAATGATTCACTGTAGTGTAAAGCGCTTTGGAGTCCTTACTCTGTAAGGTGCTATACAAGTGCGGGTCATTTATTATTTAAAGGTTCTAAACACTCTAAATAGTGCAGAAACGCAAATAAATAAAAAGTCAACATTGTGTGTTGAGGTTTAACATTGTCATTAATGTTATTTTTATTGTACCTGAGAGTTAATGATATGAGAGTAATGTTATGGGTTAGTTTTATTTTGAAGGGCAGTTCAGCGGGTGGAGAGGATTGTTTCTGGTTCCAGGAATCAGCTGTTATGCTAAGAAAAGCCGCTCTGTTCTGAACTTTTTTGTAAGTAAATGGAGAAGTTGTAAGCTGTGGGTTAGTCGTCTGAATAAAAAGTCACCTAAACGAGTAACCCGAAATCCAGATTCTCCAATATTGTTTTCTCGTGTACACAAAATTGACATTCATTGTATTCTTAGTATGAAAAGTAGGAGATGACAAAGTATTTGGAACTTAGCACCGCTTTATTGCAAGCTGAGCAATGTGCAATATTTTATTTAGTCTACAGACTCTCTTAAGAGACAACTTAGACTCAGCTTACATACGGCAAGTGTAGCATACTAGCTTACCTTTTCCTGTAGCAGTAAATATGTGTACAACACATTTGCAGTGCAACAACACAAACACTTCACTCTCTTAGAGTTGATACAATTAGTAAACTATAAACCTTAGTTTTCCTGTGGAAATAGGAATAAAATCTTAAAATGAGAAATGACTTATGTGCACAACTCACATCAGAGACTCTTTCTTACAGACATAATCTGGAGTTTAGCTACAAGCTTTTTGTTAAAAATTAAAGAAAGAACACTGACATATGTGCAACTGCAACATACAAATGTAGCTTTCCCTGTCAAAAAATAAACTCAAAGTGCAAGATAAACAGGCCGTAGCCCATAAAATGATATTATTTCAAGACAACGTGTCTGCATGTGGGAGATAACAGACAGTAGTGTGCAAATAATTTCACAGCATTAACAAAAAATAAATAACATCAAACTAAAAACTATTGAGCTATATCTGTAAACATACCTATTTCAGGTGAGGAAGGGAGCAGTAAGGAGATTGCCATGGGCAATGAAGTGCACAGTAAACTAAAATAAAACAAAATAAACATCGTAGCTCAATCTGTAGGCCTGGCTCTATCCTCGTTTTAGCTGAGGCATTCCTGGTAACAGAAATATGGGATGGAGGTTAGGGACACACCCACAGCTTACTGATTAAGCAGAATGAATGGCAGATTTGCCTCGCAAAATAAAAGCATCTCAGCATTTTTTGCACTGAACCTGCTCCCCTTCTCATCCATAATAAGACCTGCTGTACTGAAAAGACGCTCGCTATCTACGCTTGTGCAAGGTGAACATAGATAGGAACGTGCTGCTTGTGCAAGAGCAGGAAGTCGGTGCTCATTGGCTTTCCAGAAATCAAGGGGCTGTTTGTGATCTGGAATAACTGGCTCTGATTGGTGAAGAGTAATCTCTGCTGATGATGTGGTGTTGATGTCAGCAGCAGCTTCATGTTGGCCATGGTCAGCCAACAGTTCAGCATACATAGCATGCAAGCCAGTCCGTGGTACTTTCTGTGGGGGCTCGGAGTTGCTCGCTGCAGAACTGTCCTCACCAATCTGTTGCTCCACTGCAGTGGCCCGGCTCAGGACGTCAGAGAGCAGCCTGTGTATCTGTGGCTTGAGTGCGGAGTGGAAAAACATGTCTTTATACCTTTTTCATTAGAAGAAAAACAGAAAAAAAGGAAAACTAATCATTAATCTGTCATGATGGATGTCATAGATCTTGCTTAGCTTGTGTTTTTATTAGTCATGGGCTTAGCTGGCCTCATAGCACAGACCCAGCATGTTTATTCTATTCTATATTTGACCGCATAACTGCTTATTTGTAAATCAAATTTGAAAAGAAATGCCAACAGAAAAGAAAAACCACAAAGCTATTGTTAATTTTTACTTTTAGCAAAGCTAGACTGAGGCCCTGTCCACACGTAGCCGGGGATCTGCCAAAACGTAGATATTTTTCTACGTTTTGGCCTGTCATCCACACGAAAACGGAATAATTTTTTCACACGAAAACGGATCTTTTTAAAAACTCCGGCCAAAGTGAAGATCTGCGTTTTCTCCGTTTTGGGTGTCTGCGAGTGGACAGACAAAACCGCAGTTTTAAGGTCCGCAACGTCACTTTCCGCGACAAAAAAATGCTGACATCACGTGTGCGACCTGTGTTTACACTAGCCGACAGCATGGATGCCCTCAGAGCTGCGCTCTGTCACTACCCGATCCACCAATTGTCCAAGCGCTTTCTGCTTGTTTGTTTTTGCAAGCGGAATTACTGCTCCTTGCGGAAGACCACAGACGAAGGACGAGGTTAAGAACGGGGGAAGTACTGCCGCCTACAGGTCTGGCATGTCCTTAACGACGTATTTATCCGGGTACGTATGGACAGAGTTGTTTTTTAAAACGCGGTGGTGTGGATGCAAGTTTTTGGAGGGGCGGATATTCGTTTTTAAAAAACCTGGCTACGTGTGGACTAGGCCTGAGAGACAGAGCATAATCTTACACACACACACACACAAATATAAAGTATTTTTCTCACCTTGGATCGTGGAGGGTTGCAATCGTGGACAGAGACTCAGATTCCATGTCCTTGAATCTCTTCTTGACAGATTCCAACAGCGTGGCTTTGACGGTTTTTACACCATGGTCAGTCTCCTGTGTTTTCTCAAGAAGACGAGTTAAGGCTTTGATGGATGGAATTACAATGTGTGTGTGAATGGGTGAACGACTGATTGTTTTGTGAAGCACCTTGGGGGGTTCCAGGACTCTAGCAGGCGCTATATCAAATACAGGCTTTTTGCCATTGAAATGATACACATTTAAAAAGATGATGAGAGATGTGCTCTAACTTGTAAACAGCCTTAATCTGTTTAAGTGAAGCCGTAAGATAACCCCAACAGAGCCAACTGATAAGTCCGTCTAACAGTGTGACAAAATGCGACAAGATTTATTAAAAGTCAAATTTTGATGTTTTTAGGTTCTTCAAGAAAATAAACTGAAACTGGTTTGTTGCAAAAGAGGACAGATGGCTATTACAGCGACGAGTTCACATTTTCTTTAAAAAGCTCTTCAAGATCTGCTAAATATAAAAACCCTGCAGCGAGGGAGACGGTTTCTTCTTACGTGAAATCACCAATGTAGGAGAGCGCTTCCAGCCAATCAGAGGCGAGAACGGTGGGGACATTCCTTGAACATCCTACGATTCTAAATGAGGGCCGCGGGGGCGTGCACGCGGCCCTCTTAACGAAACACACTTAAACACAAGCTCATGCGTGTCAAGTTATAATAAAGGTTGTCTCTGACTAAAGGTGGACATTGTCCTAGGCTTCCTTTTGTTATGCTTTTAAAACCGTGCAACGTAAATTCACTCCAAAATGACTTTAGGAGTGTGGTCTTCTCTTTCTGGCTCGTGTCTCAGGTGAGCCCTGCCTCTCACCTGCTTTGGTCAGATCCACACACAGAATGTTGTCCTAACTACATGATGTCCACCCCAGGTTCCGTCCAGCTGTCCAGCCACCCGCTGTCTCTCCACAGCAGCCAGCTCCGAGGATGGACAGCTGATTTACACTGGCAATCTGGGCATGGCTGTTCGAGGTTTGTCGCTTTCATCTTATTCATGGTTTTTTAGTGTCACTCTGAGCCTCTGTGGTTTTAAATTCCTGGTCTGAGTAGGGCTGGGCGATATGGCAAAAGTAGAATATCACGATTTTTCCAATATTTTATCACGATTTCGATTTTATCACGATTTTTTATCCATGAATAGCATAACTTCAATTGCGTATTAAAGAGAAACATTGAATAAACAAACATTTATTCATATTAGCGATAATCAACACAGTGCTAACACACTTATATTTTAAACTCACACCAGAGATGATAAAAGCCCTGAGAGAAACAATTACAAAAATCAGTTTTTCTCGTTTTTCAAGTAACTTAACAAATTAAAATTGTAAACATATTTAAAGTGCAAACATGTCAATTGCAAACGTATTGTGCAAACATTAACTTGTTCAAAATACTATGTAGCTCCCAGTTGCTCATGTAGTGGATAGTTAAGCTCAAATACGGCTCTAATGTAGCTTGTGGTAGCAAAAAACTGCGCATTCTGAATATTTTCTGCGACTCTCACTTTGCATTCAGCGTACATGCGTGGAATGGCTGTGTTCGAAAAATACTTGCGGCCGGAAAACTCGTAGCGCGGATCCGATGTTTTTATCATTTTCTTAAATCCCACTCCTACTGTTCGCACGGGACACAACTCTTTAACCAAGTGGTACGTCACTGCATCGGTCACGCTGTTCCATCGTCTGCTGTCTCTGTCGTAGGGAGTGAGTTTTGTGTTTCTGTTAGCGTTTGCTGCCTGGAAGAAGCACTAGCCGCTGCAGCCGCAGGCTTTTTAGCTTTAGCTGCCAGTTGGCTCTCATTGCATTGTTTGGGATGCCTTCTTTTCAAGTGATTAAACAAGTTTGTGGTGTTGCCATCACTTGCCTTGACGCTCTCCTTGCAAACTTTGCAAATGACGTTTCGCTGCTCTTTGTCATCTGGTGAAAAACCAAACCAGTTCCATATAATGGATAGGGATGGGTACCTTTGACATTTGAATCGATCCGGTACTAATTCCCGGTACCTACGAATCGGTACCGGTACTTAACGGTACCAATTTTCGATACTTTTGAGTGTTTATTATTTTTATTCTCTTTTATAATTAAATATATATTTTTCTTAATATATAACAATATTTGATAAATATCACGATAAATAACATTCAACTGTTTGTATTTTAGCATCGTCCTTGTAGTTTTATAAGCTAATCATTAAACTGAAGCAAACATCTTTACTGTGAACTAAATTTACTGTGTATCTTCATTCCTTTTGTCGTCCTTTTTCATTTGATTTTTCCTACTGGGAAGTTAGAATTTCCGAGGAGAAAGCGAACGCACCATTAGCTGATAACAACGGTGGCAATGGAAACTAACATATCAAGCTAATGTTATCCTAAACAGTTTATTTAGCTGCTGGAGCAGATTAAAACGATGATGCCTCACACTTAGATCGTTGTCGCTGGTTTCATCTTCACCCAATCACCCGTCGCATTTAGTAAAGTGAAGCCAAACTTTAGAGCGCGTTCATGTTCTTCTAGTCGGAAATTCTGAGTTCAGAGGAGAAAGCGAACGCACCATTAGCGAAACGGAAGCTAACATATCAAGCTAACGTTATCTTAAACATTTTATTTACCAACCAGAGCAGATTAAGATGAGGATGTCTCACTTAGATCGTTGTCTGTCGCTGGTTTCATCATCACCCAGTTACCCATCACATTTAGTGAAGTGGACCCAAGCTTTAGCGTGCGTTCTTTCTACCATGCTGCTCTGTTTACAACTGGCTTGCAGCGACCGACGACAACGCTCTTGCGCATGCGCAGCTGTCTAGGCAAGTTCTCTTTATGAAGGACGGGTACCGAAACGAGGCACCGTTTCAAATGACGTGAATCGGTGCTCGGTCGGTACTATAGGAAAGGCGTTCCTCTTTGGAACGAAAACCTCGTTGTCGCTCTCAGCCGCGGCCGAAGCCATGTTTGTCCACACACAGGTGAAATCAAGCGGGGCACTAATATATTACTATGACTCACTCTGATTGGTTAAGGGTCAAACAAAGGAGTAAGTTCCCTTTTCATTCAGAGGCAGAAATTCAACAGCAGAGCTGTGAATCGTGATAAAAAGGTCTCTCAGAAATGACAGACCGTCAGACGTGTAGATCGTAAAACGGTCTAAAATCGTCATATCGCCCAGCCCTAGGTCTGAGCCATGCAAAAGGAATGATCCGAGTCTGATTGTTTTCAAGTACAGCTGTGCAGACTACCAACCTGGAACATTAGTCATTCATTTCAATGCTTGTGAGCGTCTCTTGAAGTGTTAACTGTTATTCCACGTGAAACGTTCTGTTTTGTGTTGCTCTTGTGTTTTTTTTTAGGGGTGAAGATGTTCTCGTACTGCACCAGCGGTGCTAGCCTTATCATCGTGCCGCAAGTCCTCTTGAAAACTGGAATGGGAGTCGAGAGCTTCGCCTTGCAAGTTGCTTTCTGTGGAATTATTGGCTTCTTCATATTTATCACTCCCGTTCTCCTCCATGTCATCACCAAGGGCTACGTACTTCGTCTGTACCACAATGCAGACACCGACACGTACACCGCCATCACCAGCAGCGTTTTCCTGACTGAACGAAGGTGTGTGTTCACTCAGAATCAGGTCAGGATCCCATCTATCAGCAAGATGTTTACCACCTTCTACGCGGGTCAGAGGGGGCTGCTGGTAAACCCGGACCTCTTCCCTATTCCACAGGACTACAACCATCTGATGGGCTACGATAAGCCTTTTAGTTTTAGCACAGACCAAATTGAATAAATGGCAAAAAACGGACTGAAAACAGGCTAAATGTTGTGTAGCTACTTCATCACAAAGAGGACACACGAAGCTGCAGTTTGACAACACAACTGTTGACATTCACAATGTGTTCGTTGAGTATTCTTTGAGGAAATAAACTCTAGACTACTACCAGTTTTCTGTTGTATGTTTACGGCGTAGCAGAAAAGTCCCATAAAATGTTTTTAGTCGTGCAGTGGATGTTGGCACTTCTGCTGACTTCAGCAGCTTCAAAAGACACCGTGGTGGCATATCAGGGTGATACTGCTGGTTAAGGCTGCTTGATTGAATTTAATCCCCATTATGATCTGGATTTTAAAAGATTATAAAAACAAAATGAGCCAAATGTTTGCTTCCCCCGTGTGGCTTACTCTCGTGCTGCAAATCGAGCGCGCCTCCCGGTGTTGCCAAGACAGCAACTTTGTCGCTATTTCTAACAACTTTTCAGATCCGCTTCATGACATTTTCTCCCTGAAGCACCTAGCGAACAACCTGTCAACGTTTCCGGTAACCTTAGCTACTTTCTGTGGTGGATATTCCCTGCAGGTTGGTAGAACACCCAGCTGTCCTTCCAAACATTAGGAATGGGAATGATGTCTGCATGTGCAGCATGATCTCGTTACACCGACAGAACAATCGTAACCCTTTCTTGGTGGATTTCACTCGCTCACAAAAGCAGCTGTTTTACAAGCAAAATAAACGTGAGATGCAGTGAACTACATCTGAAGTGGATTTTTATTTTATCAGGGTTGCAATTTCTCATGCGATGAGTGTGAGACGCACATTTCACTTTCTACGAGGGTTCTCATGCCACACCTCCAATTTCTCAGGTAGCCTTATTTGTATAACACATTTTTTTACACGAAGGAAATTTAATGCGTTTCAGGAGCAAGAACAGCAAAACCAACGTGACAGCATAATGAAATACACAAATACATGTAATGACTTAGATTACGTGTTATTTAATGAGCCACAAGGCGTGGGACTCCATAGGAAATATGAAATCCACCTTACGGATCTGTGAGTTATTTAAACCAGAAGATTGGATCTTTTTATTGCAGGGATTAGATAACAGCTTCGTATTCACTCAGAGACAACAGAAGAGAGAGAGTCAAGTTTAAAAGTTAAGAATTGTGTTACTAACAAATTAAACTAGACTGACTTTAAACACTAAATGTATGGTGTAACTAATGCGAATGAGACGGTGAATGGATGATGTGTGATGTTAATCAGAACCAGCAAATCCGAAGAAGCGATTAGTTCTGATGGGAACTGAAGGTGATGTCTTCGCATTAAGCTTTGGTTAGGAGGTTCATAAACACATGAGACACCATTTGCCGGTCTACCTACCCTTCAGGAAGTCCTTTTTAGATCAGGAATGTCGAGGTCTAGCTTGACCTTCTCTGGAACCGAGCCGGTAGGAAAAGCAGCGGTTCCGATCAGTCCAGTCTGTGAGTTACTTCCGGGTACACGAAAGTTTGTTGGTGTCTGGTGAGATCCAAGCCTGGGTCTTGATGGTTCAGCTTTTATTCTGAAAGGAACTGTTGCCGCTGTTGGTATAGCAACGAAATTTTCAGCTTGTCGTTCTTTCGGTTTAAGAGTTTAGATCAGGATCGGCCACTCCGTCACTTTCTCTGGAACGCTTTGAACTGGCGTTAGAGATGACGTGGCATAGTTTTATACTTCGGATGTTTTGGTTTATTGTCGAATGAAAAATGACCAAACACCATCAGAACCACGCCTCCATCAGATCTGTAAGATTCTGATTGGATCAGTGAAAGTAATGTGTCATGTCTTTTAACGCTACGTGAGATCAGTCCTATTGGAACATTTAAAGTCATATTACTTATTATATTCTATAGGATTATAATAAAGTAATTAATATTTTGATTTCACAGATCGGTCACATCTTATTTATTGACTAACACTTTGATGGATTAGCTTTATTAAAATAGAGTTCTTTGATTAATTAAAAGAAAAGAGTTCATTCTTCTGTTGAGCTGAAAATAAGCAGGTTAGAAGGAATGCGTGAGACCTTGAGGCCATATCTCATGCAGACTAGTCCTGTGCAGAGGAGGGAAAAAAACAGTCATTGCATCACGTTACATACATTTAGATCAGTGGTTCCCAAACTTATTTAGCCGCGCACCCCCTAGCCCCCACGTCAGGGCATGGCTATATATATATCAGACGTCAAGCTAAACAGACAGGGTTAAAAAAATATGATCGACCTTTTTCCCCATCACTTTCATTTTTTAAATAGTAATTAATAAACATTCGATACCATTACAATTTCCTTTGATTTAATTTTAAATAAATATTTAGAGTGCCCAGGTAGCACATAAACAATGCAATTTAACAGTTTTCTTAAAGTAGGAACGTTTAACCTGTGCGGCCAGAGCGCTCTCCTTCCTTCTGCTCTGCTTAAACCTGAGCTGATCACCTACTTGTGCGTAATCAAATGTCTATAGGGGAAAAGATGGAAAAGCCATGAGGTTCACTTTTACCTCAGACCGACTTATTACTGTTTTATGGTGTGGCTGAATCTGCGATCCGCTGCCACGCGGACTGGAACAACAAATGCTGCAGTAACATGAGTTGTCAGGTTCTGAGTCACTGGCTGGAGCGGACCCGACTTTAATACGTCATCCCAAAATAGAAGCTAATATCTTAATCTGACCTTGAATGAAAAATGTTATAAAACCTCTTAAAAGTTTTTATCACGGTGGAGGCAGCGCTCATTTCTGTCTTCAGTCTGACGGCGCGCCGGACTTTACGCAGCGTGCGCGCTTATTGAATCTGTGTGTGTGTGTGTGTGTGTGCGTGCGGCACAGCTCCATGAGCCGTTCCAGTAACCGCGTCTCGTTATTGGCGCTATTTAAACCAATGTTGTAAAATTATTTCTGCCCAGCCCAGATGTGCTCACATGTGCACCCGTGAGCCGTGGTTCCGCTGGAACGCGTCTGATCTCTGACAGACGCACTCTGAACTTCAGATCTTCAGCGCGCTGTTAATAGCCTGAATGTGAATCATTTCTTGATTTATTTAGTTACATCCACAATGTTCTGTGTGTGAGGTTTACAATGTCAGAACACCTGCATGAGACAGGTGTTAATTACAATCTGCCAGAATGACTCACCACCTTCAGATTCCTCCAACACCGTTAAAAATGATCAAATACAGAACATATCGGCGTGCGCAGGCCAGAGTGCTGAAGCTCGGAACGCATTATTATTATGAAGCTAGGGCACATGAGGACACACACACACACACAAGCAAAATGTACTTGTTTTCAATTACATTTATTGGGCCCACTTACTTTTTCTTAGGCCCACCCACAAATGAGTTTCTGGCTACGCTAATGGTGACATACGACAGACTTCTTTGAGCTCCGCAGCCATTACACTTTTCACCTCGCGCACCCCCTAGCGGCAGCTCGCGCACCCCCACACTTTGGGAATCCCTGATTTAGATCAAATGAAATGCACAGATTCAGATAAAAGGCGAACTTAAAGGCAGAGCAGTCAGTGCAGAAGGTGCAGCATAAGAAACATTCATTCTTGGAAGTTTTATATTTGATTTAAAAGTCATTTGAGGTCATGAGGAAGATGATCCCATCTGTGCAGCGTAGTAGCTTCACCCTGATTAGTTCAGAAAGTTGGTCTGTCTGCGCGACACGTTGCATCGTGCTGCTGTACACCCCTACAGCACAGCTGGGCAGGACTATGTCACGCAGCAGGTTGTTGGAGGTCACTTTTTTATTTATTTTCTGATTGTGTCCTGTGTCATGTTGTAACTGAATATGTAAAGTTAAAAAAAAAATGAAAAAAATCTACCTTAATTAAATATCTTCAAAATCGAAATTTCACAATATGTCAAAAATAATTCTGATGAGATTGTTGCCTAGTGGGCCATTCCCACCTGTACCGGGTCGGCCCGGGCCGGGTAGCGTAGGTTGTTTACATATCTGGGTGGCCTGGAATTTTCCCGGGCCAACCAAGGCTCATTCTCGGCCCTCTTCCCGAGGGGTACTGCTTCAGGCCGACCAGGGCCAACACGCCCACTGCTGACAGCAAATTCACACCTTCCATTAGAGCAAGCCTCTGATTGGTGGGTAGAATCAGCCCACATGGGCTTAAGACAAGGATGTGTGGAATCAACCGGGCCAGGCTGGGGCCGACTGGGGCTACCCGGCCCGGGCCGACCCGGTACAGATGGGAATGGCCCAGAAGAGGGCTGAGAATGAGCCTTGGTTGGCCCAGGAAAATTCCAGGCCACCCAGATATGTAAACAACCTACGCTACCCGGCCCGGGCCGACCCGGTACAGGTGGGAATGGGGCTATAGTTGAGCAGGCCTACTGCCGGTGAGTCCTTTGCACCGTGGTGGCGTGGCAAAGCAAGAATATTGCAGCGTTTGCATCAAAAGTTGCTTGAAAGTAAAATTACCGCAACACCAGACTTTAGAACGAAGACCACACCTTCGTGCAACAGCGGATGACGCCATGATGACATGTTGAGTTTATTCCTTATAACTTACTATTTCAACTTATAAATAAAAACTCAAATACCTGATTTAATTTACAGAAAATAGTAAAACTAAAAACAAATAAATACACAGAAGCAGCAAACAAAATTTAAAGGAAAAACACCCAGTCCAAAAAACAAAAGCAGAACAACTCTAGAACCAATGACTGAGAGACAAGGATATACAGAATATATTTATTTACTTTGACTTTAATATTTAAGTAATATGAACCTAATATATACTTGCTTTGGCAAGTTATTATAATAAGTTATATTTATTTCCACTTTCAGACTGCAACCCATTTAGAATGAACGTTTGAGAAGAGAAAACTGGGATAATTGTGAGTTAAAGTAAAGGGCTAAATAAACACTTCAAAAATTAAAGAGTAAATGAATGACAGACTGACAGTTATGAAAAACTTGTTTATTACAGATTAAACATGTTTTTGATTATAAAATAACAGATCTACAGACAGATGCTAAAGCACATTATGGTTTCCTACTGACCTTTGAAAGGGGAAGCTTTTGTGAGCTTCTGTCTCACGCTGTCACACTGAAAGCTAAGAGTTGCTAATCTTGCAATGTGGTGCATCCTCAGCTTAAAGAACAGGCTGGAGACAATAGATGTCAACAGTGTACGGGAGTGAGACTCAATTCCGTACTGTGTCTCACTGATGTGCTCCCCAAGCAAAAAGACATCTTCTGACCCGATCATCTTGCGCACAATGTAGATGACCTCCAGTGGTTTGATGGGCTGTGATCGTCTGCCCACTGAAACCTGGCGAATTGCCCACTCTGCTGCTCTGATGACCCTCACAGTACCTTCAGATGGGACCACAAGACCCCCGTTGTTCTTCAGAGTCAGCAAATGGTAGCTCTGGTCATCACAGGCAGATGCAGCATCCATCACCAGGCTGGCACGGCAGACATCACAGGACAGCTTGGTCATGGCTCGCCGCACAACAAATCCTGAAATTACAATTACCAATGTAACTGGACAGTGTGGTCGCCTTTACACTTTACATAGGCCTATAGAACAACATGATGTCAGGTGAGAAATCAGACGAGAACTGTAGTTTGACTACCTAAAGGCAAACAAGTAATCATGATTAGTAAGTGTGGAATTTATTCATTATATTTATTTATCAGGGGGATTTGATAAGCCAGCAGTTTTCCAAAAGACTACAAACATCTTTTGTGTTTTTCTTCTGACCGCATTTTTAGGTTCTTTTTGAAACACAGGGAAGGTTTTTTTTTTACCTCGCTGACAGTTTTGATCGTGTCTGCGATCTTCCTCAGAGCTGACACTCAGTGGCGTCAGCTCTGAGGAAGTTTATGGATTCCTAAACAATCCTCCAGAAAAGCCTAAATGTGACATTAAATCAATATGCATATTTCTTTCTTGTACACCTTGGATTTATGTTGAGTAAAGATACACATATCCAATCTTCTGAAGATGAGCAGGGAAGCTGAATATTGTTGGCCCAACACCAGCTTTAAGTCGGACAGTCTGCCCAGTCCTGTCCAAGTCCTCCGCCTTGAAATGCTCACTGCAGACCATCGTCCTGTCCGTGACAACAAAGTTCTCACTTCTTAGGGCAACTTCCCACTGCCTCCTTCTTTCTCCATCTTTGGGAAATCTTAAACAAGTGACCAAATGTAAGCAGCTTTATAAATCATTGTAACTAGTTTACAGCCTTTTCCTTTAACATGAACATAAGACCAACAATAGTTAAACAAAAGGTGTCGAGACAGAAACATGCAATGATTGACTAAACAAGAAATATTGAATTGAAGCAATGAAACTTTATAAAATCACAGTTAGCTGATAGTTTTTAAACTTTGCCATCGCTGTTATTTCTAAAAAGCAGTTCTAAGCAAAGCAGATGAGAGACGTATCAGCCTAACACAGTTTGTTATTGTTAAATCTTATGAATGAAAGGTGATCCCACGTTGCCGTGACTGAAGACATCGTCTACTAGAGCATCCATAGGCAGCACCAAAGTCAGGCGTGTTTCACGTGTATTTCTGTAAAAACAAAGCCAGCAATTTCCACTATTTTAATATACTTCAATCTAAGTTTGTTAGATTTTTTAACAAAGTAAGCCGCCTGGAAAACAAGGGCAATTTTACCCTCCGCTTCCACTGAGGTAAAACATTGTAGCTAAGCGGCGCAGCCACGGCAGCCTCGTCTTCTCTAAGCCAATTTAGACAGCTAATAAACACTAAAACATCCACCAAGACAGCCATTTAGACAAACATTAGGTTTGCGTACACTTCTTAGTTTCGTTGAACCATACGAACCCTATAAAAATATTGATTGTGATGTCTCTCTCAGCCTAACGCACAAAATAGCTTAGACTCATTGTTCACAATTATGTTGTGTTTCAAAAGTAATGGCGGTAATTTCAAAATGTGTAAGTATCCCGCGTCAAGTCTATGTATCGTACGGTTTGTAATAAGGCAAAACCGTTTGTAAATCCGTTAATATTTCATTGAGTTATAAGTATTTTTAATTGAGCCGTGCACTCACCCTCAGCTAGAGAACAGTTAGCTGTCCGAAGTAAGATGGCCGCCTTGTAAGGATGCTGTCGACTCCTAGTTAGGGCATATAGTAATATATATGACATCTATGGTAACCACTGAGTTCCGTTAAAACCGACTTTACATTGTCTGCAAAAGGCTTTGGGTTATAAACTGAAAAACAGGAGATGGCTGCTGCAGCTTTGGTTTCTAACCCAGGCCTACACAACATTTCTGTATTATATTCATTATTATCATTATTTTCATATCCACCTTATTCTTATGGCCCATGATGCTTAGTGTGAAAAATAATCTTCCGTTCTGCGATCGTTTACGCTGAGACGATGCAATCCTTTTGCGCAAGTCCCCCTTTTTTGGGCTTTTTGCGATGGAAAGCGAGCAAACACCAGCTGTCACAGCTGAAATGAGACACCATTGCACTCCTGCCTAATGAGCCAGTTGTTCTTGTGAGGCTGCTATCAAACCAATTTACTTTTTCTTCCTGCAGCATCACAGCCAGGGACATAAAAGCCTCAACAGCCTGCCTAAATGTACAGCGCTTTGGTTAGCTCTCATGCTATTGTTAAATCGTACTTTTTAAATAAAACGGTATGGTAACTTGATGAAGAGGGCTGGTTTTGTTTTAGGGACTGCTATGGAACCAAAGAGGGATTCTCCTAACCTGGGCAGGCCATCCTATGTATGTAAAAATATAGTCTGGCTACGACTGATAAGAGCTCAGTGGAATCAATTTTTCTGATCACTCAACGGGGCAGCCTGTCATACGCAGCTGAAGAAGAAGCCACGTACAAGAAACCACACACGTGTTTAACATGTTTATATATATTTATGTGTAATGGTAGTAAGCCTTAATTATTCTTGGTTCATTCTTCAACATAACAGCAGCTTATTACCATCAACACTGGGAAAACCCCACAAATAAGTCGAAACTTCCAGAATCCACACAGAACCACGCGTTGGCAAGGGAACTGGAGCTCTGCAGCTCTTCAGACAACAGATCTGACACCTAAGTGTTTATCAACAGAAACAGAACCATCCTCCAAGAACATCCTGCCAACAATGCCCAATGTTGCACCCTGCACTGAAGCATGAGGATGTGCTTGTGGAAAGAGGGGGAAGACCGGGTGAGCGTCCTGTCACTGCATTCCGATTGATCACGCGCCCTGGCTACTTGGCCACGGGGATATCCCTATGCAAATACCCCTGATTGCAGTACGCAGATCGGGGCGGGGCACAACGTGGGTGGAGTTAAGCATTTGACTCCGCCCATCGCGTGGGCGCCATGTTGAAAAAACCCATGTAGAGGCCAGCCGCCATTTTAGATGGGTCTCCTTCGCCCCCAGTGCATTCATGTTCATGTCTATTATCCTGCAAAACCTCTGGTGAAAGAATTCTCAGATATGCTGGACTCCTTTGGTCTCCAGCAACTGGTTATAGAGCCTACCCATGACAGCTCTCATATTTTGGATTTGGTGTTATCTTTTGGAATCTCTGTTTCTGATTTGTCAGTGGACCAAGTTTGTTTCTCTGATCATTTTCCAATAATTTTTAATATCAGTGGTTTGACACCTCCTCCTATAAAGCGTCAAGCACGTCGTTTTGTCAGGTGTATTTCCCCTTCTACCACCTCCCAGTTATCTGGCCTGGTTGATGGATTCTCAACCGTTTCAGCCAGGTCTCCCTTCATGGGAGTAGATGAAATGTTGACTTCCTTTAAAACTGTGTGTTCGGCTAATCATAGCGCTGCTGCTCCCCTCAAAATCAGGAGTAAAAAAATCAGCCTCTGTTCATTGGCTCAGTGACAATACTCGAGCCCTTAGACGCCAGTGCAGATCTCATGAACGCAAGTGGCAAAAGGACAGGCTGCAAATTTCTCAACAAATGCTGAAGGACTCCTTGTCCTTGTATCAGAAAGCTGTCAGAGCAGCTAGAAATGAGTGCTTCTCTAATATAATCACCACTCATCTTGATGATCAAAAGAAACTATTTAGTGTCATCAATTCTGGTCTTTCTTTAAAAGACACTGCCATACCCTCTGCTCCAACAACGACTCTCTGCACTGAGTTTATGAAGTCCTTCCTGCAAAAGATCCAGGATATCAGATCCAGCATCCTGCCTCTGGGTCGGGTCACCCTGGAGGAACCAGAATGTCACCATCAAACTAATAGTTGGGGCCCTCCCTGTGTTGACCCCCTTCATTTTGGACATTGTAAACAGCAGTTAATCTACAGGCATATTTCCAATGGCATTCAAGAATGCGTTCGTTCAACCGCTATTGAAAAAACCTGGCTTGGATCATATTGTGCTTGCCAATTACCTTATGTCACCACACCCTCAGGTACTGATATCTCATCTCTCACTCGGGTCTTTCAAGACAGCCTAGCCTTAAATAGGCTTCCTGCTCCAGAGCCATTTGTTTTCAGTGGTGATCCAATACGGTTCATTGAATGGAAGGCAGCATTTACTTAGCTTGTCGACCAAAGGTCAATCACTCCTGCTGAAAAACTTAACTATCTCAAAAAATACGTTGGTGGGCCAGCACGCCAGGTTCTGGATGGTACCTTCTATCGAAGTGATAATGAGGCATATCAAGATGCCTGGAAAAAACTGAATCATCGTTTTGGCCAGCCATTCGTTATTCAGAGAGCATTCAGAGAAAGGCTTTACAATTGGCCAATGATTCAGTCTAAGGATGCTGAGGGGCTTAGAAACTTCTCAGACTTTCTGAATGCCTGTCAGGATGCCATGCCTCATGTCAAGGGACTTGACGCATTGAACGACTGTGAGGAAAATCAGAAACTTGTACATAAATTACCAGACTGGCTGACCTCACGCTGGAACTGTCTGGCTACAGAAAGCTTGAATGAGAAGCAAGAATTCCCTAGTTTCAAGGAGTTCGCCAGTTTTCTGTCAACTGAAGCGGAGATTGCCTGCAATCCCATTACATCTTTGTATGCTCTCCATCTATCAGACTCAAGCACTGAAAGGAGAAATGTCCGAGATGAAAAGAGAAACAAGGCCAATGCTTTTACTATTCAAACAGTTGCAAATGAAGATGAACAAAGGTCGGACTACCAAAAGGCTAAGATTTCATGCATTCTTTGTCAAGATACCACACACCAACTTCATGGATGTTCCAGATTCACAGAGATGTCATTGATTGAAAGACGGACTTATGTAAAGGAGAAGAAACTCTGCTATGGATGTTTAAAACCCGGTCACGGCGCAAAAGACTGCCGCCATCGTCATTACTGTGACATCTGTAAGGGAAAGCATCCAACAGCCCTTCAAGACTCCAATTATGCTAAAGAAAGACCTTCAGAAATGGAAATAAGTCAAGGTCCTGCTGTAACTTCGCTCAGTGTAGCAGCAGAAGGTTCATCCCACACATCGAAGGTGATACCAGTGTGGGTATCTTCTAAAAA